TGTACTTTTCGATGCTGGCGACTGGCGGCGGCGTGGTCTCGTCGGGCGCAAAGAGGTCGATGGCCGGCTTGGTCTTCTTGAGCGCCTCGACGCGGCCGTCGAGGTCCGCTTGCGCTTCTCGCGGAAGGCAGCGCGCTCTGCGTCTTCGTCCAGCCGCTCGTCCCGCCGGACCTTCTTGATCTCCGCGAGCGTCCTCACCAGTTCTTGTGCATCTTTGGAACTCGATCTGGCATGGATGTTTTTATTGGCGCAATTCTTGATTCTTTATAGCCAATCACAAGCCTTGTTTGTCTTAAATAGTGTGAGCGCCTTCCAGCACAATGACGAGTAGCAGCCCACAGACGCGCCAACGCCACGTAGCAGCCGGGTATACCGCTCCACACACTTCTTGAATGACGTGAATGTTGTTTCCGACGCTGCACGTCGCGCAATCACGCGCAAATCCATTTTCCATTTTCGAGGTGGTGGCAGAATTGCCCAAATACTTCACGTGACATCGCGGGGTTCCAGAACTCCAAGGACCGTAGAACTGGCTGCCACAGTTGGCGATGGGTCTCGACCCGGTGTGCAACCATCTTGTTGGTCGCCATCGTTGCTTGGGTACTCACACCAAACTCGAACTGCCGAGCGTCGGTTTTCAGGAAATTCGACATGCAATTTCGGTTAAAAGTGCGTCGAAGTCGCGGAAACCTAGGACGCCATCTCTATTTGTTCATGTTACAGTATTTCGGTATAGCGAAAAAACACACTATATCAAAATATTGTTTCCGCTGTCATTTGCTTTCGCTACAGAGCTCGCACGGCAACGTCACATAGCATTTTGGACTCCCCAAAGTGTGGTCTAGCACTCCCGCAAGTATGGGCGATTTCATTTTCAAACTTCATTCTGGTCGATCCTTCGGAGCGGCGGGCCTGTGTGCACCAAAATATGGTAATTATGGTTGTAAATGGCGAACGCCAATACTAACGACCGGCAACGCCAGAAAGACGACGCCGAGGCTCCTCGGGCACCACTGGCGCTGCTGCATTGTGCTCGAGGAGACTCCATCAGCATTCTCTACGCCATCATAAAGCGTCGCTCGGTCGCAATGCAGCGTTTCTCGTCGGTCTCCCTCATTTTTGTCAACATGCACATCGTCGAACCGAGTCCCTACGGTTGTAGACGTACCGGTAGCACTGCTAGACCAAGGTACTAATGTTGTTCGTATACTAGTACGTATGGTAGGTACATGCTTCATTCCTCATCATCGTCGCGCTCGATGCAGCCAAGGGCACCATTGATGTCAGGCCTTATTTTCGGCATAATAGGCATATGCCAAATACAGCTGTGAAAGCGCCGAACCGAACCCAGAGCGTGATGCGGCGCGTCAAGAAAAGCGGCCCGAGAACCGTGTCGAGGCCAAGGACGAGCGTCTCGCCCGTGATACCGAAAAACGTGGCGAGACCGCGTCGTCGCTGAAGCTATCGACGCTATGTACCGTGCGCCACCGACAGTATTGCTTGCATCTCGCGCTGCGTACTCCGAGACGTCGGCGTCGAGCAGCACTGTCCATCCCTCGAATCTGAGGGATAGAGCGACGCGACGGCGACGAGCGAGTCGTTCCGAGCGGCCGGTGTCCATGTCGCGGCAGTGGCGGGTCGAGGCTTAGCGAGGCCTCCAAGACAGCATCGATGGTTGCGCATCAGGAGATTCACGTGACGTCGACAGCCAACGCCAACACCTTGCATGGACGATCTTGGCACAGCCACGAAATAGAATTGTTTATTGCTTGTTTTCAGTGGTCCTACGGCAGCAATCGGCGACACAGTGTTGTACGACGCTCGAGTGGGGCAATAGACGGCTCGATTGGGAGTGGCGTGCCAAATGGCTATACCTACTGTCTATCTGGGCGCCAACACCGCAACTTCCTTGCTGCGCCCGACAGTACGTTCGCAACCTGCCATCGCAACCATCAATATATGCCACGAAGACAAGTTGTTGCGGTAATATAATTAAGTGTACTATGGAGTAGTGGGTTAAATGTCGCGGATGTCGTGGCCGCTGCGCTCCGAGTCCGAGCTCCACATGAAGAACGAGCCGCGGTTGGGCGTGAGTATGACCACGTCTTGGTCCGTCGTCGTCTTACGCCACTGCGTGTTAGGCGTTCGGAACGGGATCTGGACTAAGATCCGGCCAAACATCGAGAACTGATAGCCGTGGTAGAATCGGTCGATCGAGACGGTGCGCACAAACACCATGAGCACGAGCCCGACGAGCGAGAGGACCCAGTACCCCCGGAGCTGGCTCGGCCCAAGGACGTCAGTCACGAGCGCTTTCACAAGCAGAAGGCCCAAGGACCAGCTCGTCAAGATGAGTCCGTACATCGTGCCCATGTTGTAGACGCCGTACATGTCGGTAAGGAAGCACGCGATGAGCGCGCTGCCGCCGCCGCTGACAACCTTGACCGTGCAGATGAGCCACTGGAACGCACTGTACGAGTCGAACCGGTTGGCAAAGATCGGCAGCGTGACGCTCTGGACCGCGAGCAGCAAGACGAACACAATCTTGCGCGCGAAGGCCGGGTTGGCGTAGAAGACGCGGATGATGACGTCCGAGAGCATCGGCACGAGGAGCCGGCCAGCAAAGCCGACGACCGACCCGACCGTGACGAGGTGCGCGGCGTCGTCGCGAGAGATGTTGTAGAGCGCGATGGTCGGGTCGGTGCGATTTGTGGGCGACGCGATCGAGACAAACGTGAGGCCGATCGTCGAGTTGGCGGCGAACGCGACGCAGAGGCAGAGAAAGTCGGTGGAAAAGATGCACTGCACCAGCGAGAGCGCCTTCACTTGCTCGTAGTAGTGCCGCTCCGTGCCTTCGACGGCCGCCGATGTCGTATGCTGCGCCGACGTCGCGGACCGGTCCACGAGGTTGAAGTTGACGAGCGTCATACCGATCTTGAGGTACTCGTCCTGGACAACGTTGGTGTTCGGTGCGCGCTCGATCGGAATGCCGTGCATGTCGTGGCCGTGGATGACAAACGAGGCCGGCGGCGTCCGCAGCAGCAGCGTGCAGAGCCCAAGCTGCGGCGTCAGCAGCGCGAGGACGAGCCAAAAGATGACGTCGAGCGGCGCGGCAAAGGCGTCGAGAATCGCGTTGATGAAGAAGGTCCAGAACGCTTGGCCGAGCCCGAACCCGAGGATGCAGATGCCACTGCCCGTCCCGCGGAAGTCGGGAATCCACTTTTGACATGTTGCCATG